CGTTTTATTATTTCAGAAGGTACGTTAATACATTTTTGGTCCAATGATTTTGCAGGCATGCAATATAAACAACGCTATAGACTAAAATTCCCTATACTCAAAATCCCTTTTCCCTTCCTCATATCCTAGAGAAGGAAAAACCGGTTATGAGCAAAATTGAGGTTTGGGGGTCTAGATGCTTGTGTTCAACGGCGCCAACCTCAAGTTCTTTTTGTTTATGAGTTTCTGGTTTCTTCTCAAGGGAGAGTGTTGATTCATTAAGCTTATCTCTCATTGCAAAAATAGATTCTGCTCATGAATATAGGCAACTATTTGTTTTTTTTGTAATAAATGGGAATGGTTGCTAAAGTTGTCTCTATGGCGTCACCCAATGCTGAACTTAAAATGATTTTACCCTTACTTTCTATTTTTAATTTCAGGAATTAATGTTGTGTTCAAAATTGGTATTTCCGTACCTGAATCTTTTATTGCTTCTACTTGCTTCCCTGCAATGTAAACAGTAATATTTTCCAAGGAATAAAAATTAAGTTTTCCGTCCGAACACTAGCGTTTTTGTTAATGTTTAGAATTTGCATTTGTAACAACCGCATTGTCCTTCGGTTTACTTGAAGTGTTAACTCTCGGTTGACCGGAAAATTATCGTTCTGTTTATTGGACCTCTCAAATTTATTTTGCCTGTTCGGGCAATCCTTAGCCAAATGTAAAATGCTACTGCACACGTAACATTCTCGCAGTTTAATGTAAACAAATGTTTTCTGTTCATTTACCACTGAATCTTTTCTTAGTGCTGGTGGAATATATTTAGAGGTTTTGTTGCATGAATCATGAAAATTATTGCGCTTTTCACCTCTTATGTCATCAAAAGGTTTACCTTTTGCTATGAAGTAAGTGTCGCATTCCTTCACTAGATCTTCTGGACGTAGCCAACTTTCACCTTGTCTAACTGCAACATGGCACGGTAAATCATTTTCCAATGTTTGAAAAAGTTTGTCAGAAATGATTAAGTTAATTCAAGACTCAAAATCATTTATGTTTCTACTTTTACAATTATGCATCCAACCTGATCTTAAACGAGAAACGAACTGCAAATGAGTTTCCCCCATCAACCTTTTAGCTTGGCAAAAATTTTCTAAACATATAATTGGCAATGGATCATATTCCTTTAGGATTAAAGATTTAATTTTCTCATAATCTTTCAAATCATCATCTTTAATATATACTATAATATTAGAAGATTTATCACCTATCAGTTTAAGTAAAATTTCAGACTTATTTGGTACGCTTTTATGCTTAAAAACCTTTTCTATTGAATCAAAAAATAAGTTCAATGCTTCTCTTTTTAAGTATAGAAATCGATACTGCCTGTATAGCTTTCAAAAGCTTATCTAATGAAAGTGTATTTTCTACGTTGTGACTAGATTCATTTCTACTTTCGATTCGTATCAAACGCAGTTTCGCAATTTCCTCTGACTTTTTCCTTTCTTCCACCGTAGTGTTAAGGAATTCAGTGAAAAAATCTTTATCTTTCAAATATTCTTTAGAACTTAAAAGCTTATCTTTTAATTCTACGACTTTTAAACTGGGATCGGCTTCTTCACCGAGTTCCTTCAACACTTTTAATTACTCCCTTAAACATATTTATAAGAAATTTTCCTTAAAAATTACAACAAAAATTTCTCACTTTTTCGCAAAATCCAGTGACCTTCGTTCTCTCTGGTTCTCAAAAGAGAGTGTGCTGTCATGCTTGTCAGGATGGCAGAGACGTGTTACAATACATTATTGGAAGGTGAATCCTTTATTATATAGAAGCACGACTTTTATGTACAAATATTTACATGACATTGATATTATATGATTTAAAAAATAATTCTAATGAAACACAGTTGTTTAGTACCTTACAACTTAATCAGCCACGCTGACTAAAATCGAAACTCGAACTCGGGTGTAAACTCCCTACCACACTTTCCGCAGACAACTCTCGTCTGTCTCACTTGCTGGATTCTTACTGCAAGGCAGGCAGCTGATTGGCTGACCGCAGCCAGATACATGACACTGGTGTTATTTCTCAAATAAATTTACTCATTGCTGCATTCATCCTGAAGCTTTAGTAGCCAAAACAATTCCCGAAAACCTGAAAATCATTTTGTATTAAACTGTGAAAATTGTTGATTTAATAAAAAGCCAAGCCTTAAATTCAAGAATATTTATGATTTGATTGCCAAGAGATGGGCAGCAAACATGAAACACTTTTGTTACATTCCGAAGTAAGGTGGTTATCCAGACCCAAAGTTTTAAATCGTCTTTTTGAACTTTGGTCAGAAATTCAAATTTTCCTTTTTGATTCAAAACTGGAATTGCAAAACTGTTTATTTATTGAATTATGGTTGGTGCATTTAGCATATTTAGGTGATATTTTTGGAAGTTAAATGAATTAAATTTAGGATTACAAGGACAAATGTTAATTTTTTTTTTACATCAGAGATAAAATTAATGCAATAATAAAAACTCAAATCAAAGAATTGGATAATAATATTTAAAGTTTTTTACCACTTTTAAAAAGTTTTCTAACCAAAAAAATTTAGAGAATAAAACACGAATTAACATCCAACGTTAAAAATCATTGCTTAATGTCCTTCCCTCCCCCTTTTCCCCTTTGGCTAAGCAAGAATGCAGTGATTTTTTCTTATTTTGCCACTTCAGACCACTTAAAAGCACAAATATATATCAATATTGTGTCTCCCCATGATCGTTTTCTTGGGAAACATTCTGTGGAAACTTTCATCTTATGCTAATTTCCACCGCATTGGGTATAATGCATTTATTATATTTTCTAAGAAATCTATTACATATAGTATTTTTCTAAAAATATCAGAATCGTTCCAGTTCTTATGAGGTGAAACTGTATATGATGGAAATGTAATGTCAACAACGAACAAAATGTTAGAATGAGAACTAGGAATAAGTTTGTTATAAGTAATTTGGTTTATTGTATAGCAGAGTTCTTGTACAGCCAAAGACAAGCTGCAGAGAGTAACTATCTAATGAGATTTTGAATGCAATTCCCAAACAATAAATGCACACCAGAATATATATATATATATATATATATATATATATTTTTTTTTTTTTTTAAAGGAAGACTGAAAAAAGAAACCCATTTAATTGATTTGCTGACATTGAAAATATTTTTACTAGCTGCTTGCACAGCCAGCTGCCTGAAATAGTTACCAAAAAAAGATATATATATATATATATAATGATGTTTTAGTGAATCCATTTAGTATTTAATAATAATAGACATGAAGAACTATGTTTACTGCTTTTAAATCACATGTTCTGTTAATCAATAAAGATAGAGTTGAAAGAATTTATTTTCTTACACTTTGCTAAATGGCAAAACAGTGTGTTTGTAGAAGATTTAAAGAAAAAAAAAATATATATATATAGCATTCTAACAAGGGAAATATAAATAAAGTAAATAACAGTAGCAAAAAGGTAAGAAATAATTTATAGTAATTTGTTTTAAGTTTTGGGAAGTTAAAGCCTAACAAGTCGTAAATTTTTTTTTTAATTATTATTTTTTTTCTCACTTTGTTTTAAGATCTTCTGTAACGTCACATTATTAATGAAAAAATTATTCTCACATCAAAGCGGTGCCTTATTTATTAAATATTCCAACACATCTCCAATACTAAATAGCAGAAAAAAGGAGTACTTGTTTAAGAAAGGGAAGAAAATGCTAAAAAGTTATTGAAGCATTTAATGTTTTGTATTAATATTTTTAATATATAAAATTTTAGTTGTGCTTTTTTAATTTTCCAGTTTCTCATATGTGTTGTTTTTTCTCCAGTATACAATATATGAAATGTATTAAATATAATATTACTTGTATTATCAATATTAAATATAATGAAGCACTGCAGTTTTTTCTTTAACAAATATTAGAAATATTTCCTCACATCTGCACATGCTCTATCCAGTTCAGTACTTTTTGCAGTTTGGCATTGTTATCTGAGCATCCAGCCATTTTTTTTAATCCATGAGAGCTGAATTTACTTAGCATATTCTTTATTTTCATAATTTAATGTTTGTCAGAGTAGTATTTGATGATTAAAGAAAGTAAGAGAGCAAAAAATTTTTAAACAACAAGGTAATATATACAAAGTGGTAAAAATATGTATGACCAGATAAAAATAGTTAAGCTACTCAAATTTAATGGATGATTAACTTTGAAATTAAAAATCAGTACCCATGTCTATGGTTTAGCACATTTGCAAATTGATGTTGTTAATGAATGGAAAACTCTCATGTGAAACAAGTTCTGCTTTCTTCTGCCATATATTGCTGATGTGTTAGAATATTTAATAGATAAGAATAGGGCTTTGAGGTGACAATAATTTCTTCATTAATAATGTGGCATTATAGAAGATCCAGACATGTCTTTTATGCCTCTGGATGATGTTTCCAGCATTTGCCTTAAGAAAAATATAATAAACAGCAGCTCAAATAGGTTGTTGTGAAAGTTATTCATTCATTAATTATTTGAATGGTGCAAAACCTTTAACAGCATGCCAAAGCATGTCCACTGATATCTTCAGCTTTGGAAGATTATTTCTAACACTTCTCTTAATTGCTGTAGAACAAACAACCTTCTGTATTGTATTTTGCTGCATTATGTGAAATAGCTATGTTTGTAAACATTCTAAAAGGAAATTATTTTTCTGCAATTAATAATTGTACCCCTTCAAAAAGAATTATAACCACTTTGAAAACTAAGATAAACTTTATTTGGTGACTGTACTGATTTTGCAAATGTGATAATTGTATATGTATAGTGTTGAAAAGTCAGTTGGCATTTGTGGTTTTAAATTGTAAATTGCATGTTAAAAGAAATCTGAGATTTGAAAAGCAGATACATTAAAATATACATGAAATATTAAGCATATATTTTTTGTATGTTATTGTTCATGTATTTATACATTTCTTTATTTTATTTGCAGTCTACAAAAGAAAGACTGTCTTCCTTGAATGCCACTGGTATTGCAATGCTGTTCAGTGCAGGGACATTTCTGTATGTAGCTACTGTTCATGTGCTTCCTGAAATTGCTGTGCAATCCCATAGGCATTCCTTAAATGGTGATAATTCACCAGACTCAAAAGGTTTTAAGAAAGTTGAACTTTTAGCTCTTGTTGTTGGTGCACTTCTACCTTTACTACTATCCATTGGCCATCACCACTGATAAAATCGCTATCTATTTTATGAAGGAATAACATTGTAATGATGTGTCACAGCATATAATTTAAATATTAAATTGTATGCTTATGAAATGATGTGATAAATGGAACAAAGTTGCATTTAATACCATATTTGAAAATCTTGAATTTTTTTTCTTTTCACATTTCAGTAGCTACCTTAGAAGATTCCATCTCTTGTATTCAATCAGTGTGTACATTTTAATAACATTTCTATGTGTATACTGATTTTTTTTTAAATAAAGGATATGGATGTTTCCATATATTTATGTTAAAATTTTAGGTAGGTTTAAAGAAAATCACTTTTGCATATATGTTTTCAATCTTTAAACAGTCATCACACATAATATTTGAAGTATAATACTCATCGAAACTTTAATCATTGCTATAAAAAATATGATACTGATTTTGTACTTTTTTTATGCCTCATATTTATTTTGAAATCTTAGATGCCTTTTTCCAAATTAAGCTTAAAAATTGGCATAACTCTTGGTGAAAAAATCATTTTGTTCCTCCAGCTTATTTTCTGCCAAATGCATCTACTTTTTTGTGACACAAACACAAGCATATATTCATAATTTATACAAAAAATATAACCTGAATAAAGTGTTCTTCTATAAATACAGACAAAAGTTGGTTACTTTATAATGCAAGGCAAAATTTTTTAAATTGTATTAAATGAATCACATTTTAGACATTAAAATAAGTTTTAATAATTAATAATCATTAAAATCAGAAGCAAAAGCAGATATTTAAAATTAATGAATTATTTAAAATTATGAATTTGCATATTTTACAATGTTTGTTAGCTAATATGAATATGGCTATGTTTGTGGTGATGTTAGATTATCTGAAAAGCTTTCATCAAATCATACTATCATACTATGTTTATTAAATTTTTAATGTAGTAATAAAATTATATGTATTTTTAAATATTTATATGCACTGTCAATAACTTGAAATTAGACTGTAAATACCATTTTTAATTGAGGGTCTTTGAATCTTTTAAATACCGTTTTAGGTGTTTTTTCAGTTCTCTAAATTAATTCAGCATTATTAAAGCAAATAATTTCATTGTTCTGTACATTGTTACTGTTTCAGCATTAGAAGCAGACAGACATTTCTTTTTTTCTTAAATACCAAATTTTCCAATACCAAAGTTCATTAATAATATCATTCATAAAATGCCACCAACACCGGAAATGCATAATGTAAAATACTTTTGTTGACTCATATGAAGTTTCTTCTTGTAGATATGTAAAATAAAATTCTAACATTAACATTTAATATTCATTTAAGTCTCCGTTTTAATTTGGTTACTTCCACCTTCTGGCTTAAAAATGGTAATTTACCCATAATAAATCTTTTTAAGTGTGTCATACTAAAATTAATCACTGCCATTATCCTTATTTAGTGTATACTATCAATTATATCAGTCCAATAGTAATGTTACTTACATTTACTACTGGGATAAAAGATTTCAGTTTCATTTTTGCCAAAAGGAAAAGTAAAACTGAAGTCTTTTAACTAAGCATTATGCAAACCAAAACTTTTAACTAACCAACAGAAATAAAACAGACAAAACCATAACTTCACTATTCTTAATGTGATATGAGTACCTTTTCACTCTTTCTCATACTTCTGCTATGATGTTGTTCTGTCCTGATTATATTTCTGTTAATATGCATAAAAAAAAAAAAACCCGATTTGTGCCTTTAATGCTTCAGTATGTTTATCTATTGTTTATCTATGAATAATGCTTCTGTTAAGATAATCTGTGAAAACTTCATCATGGATCTGCTTTACAGCATCTTCTACATAAAAGCCAAAAAATTTTCATGACGATTAAAAGTCAACAACTTGTTTGTGAACTTGTGAAATATCTGGAAATCTATGACCTTCGATTCACCATAAAGTCAATATGTATATAGGAAGTTCCTATCCGGGAGTATTTTCCTAGAAATCATGCATATTGGAACTTCATTTGCTTTTGTAAGTTTAATGTCTATTATTATAATTCATAACTGCTTTTGGTGTCAGTATAGGGGAAAGAAAACTTCACAAGATGAAATGCATCAACAGATGCTTACAAATTTATAAAAGAGAAAATAGTCATTTAATTAATAATTATTTCCAAGTATCAGAACATTAAAACCCAGCCATTATGAATGTTTATGTATGAAATATGCTTTCTTTCATCTTCATGGAATACTGAATGCAACATGTTACTTTCAGTGTTCTGAATTATACTGATGTTCTACATAACCAGGAATAGTAGAGGCAAGATAAACAGTAACATAGGGCACCAGCTAAGTATATCTCACATACAACAACTAAATAAAGGCACATTATGCCTTGAATTAAATTAATATGTTTATTATATAAAGGGCACCAACTATACTGATTGCCTAGAGCTCTCACAATTCTGGAGCTGAATCTGGTTTTGATGCTCTTATATAAAATAATAATAATAATAATAAATAAGGCTGCATTCAGATCTTCAAAATGAGTTGAGTGTTATAGCTCCTGAAAATCATACAGTTATTTTTTGTCATTCCTGCCCGCAATACTTACGTTGGAAAAAATATTTAGTATAGCAGTGTGAATAGAGGATTTACCTTGTTGTAATGAAATACAGTACAAAGTAACCCGGACCTCAAAGCTACAAAATTTCTGCGCATGCGCGTTTAATGTATAATGGACAGTATAAGCTAGGCTAAAATTATCTAATTATCTATTTCAGTTGATGTTGCAGATTGCGTTGTTCCTTAATCTTCTAATTGGATACGGCTTATTATTTTTTGCAGACTGTTTGAGCAATTTTATAAAAAGTAAGCTTGAACTTTCGATTATGTCAAAAAGAGTTTCCGATTCTGGAGCTGCCAAAGGATCTACAAAGCGAAAGCATGTTTTGATGTCCATCAAACAAGTGGAATTGCTGCAAAAAAATGGATAAAGGCATGAAGAAAGTGACAGAGAGGTTAGTGAAAATGAAAAAATTTCGATTGACAAGTTAGTATTCTCGTAACAGCAATTACCCCTGACCCGGAATTGCCGAAGTCACGACGAGTCTGGATTACGGACTTTGAACTGTATTAATTTCTCTTATGGTATATGTGGTTGCAAAGAAAAAATACAGTCAAGGTCGGCAGTAGAACCAGTGCAATTACGGGACTTGTACAGCGGAACTTTGTAACTGAACAAGAAATTATGTCTGTTTATAGAATTAAAGAGAAAGTATTAGCACATAAAACGAAGCAACAGAAATGTTTAATAAAGTAAACAAATGAATATTGAGGGTTTTTTTTTTTTTCTTTTTTTTTTTCTTTTTTTTTTTTTTTTGTAAATTTTGGTACCCTTTAGATCATAATTGCTCTTTATTTCATATTTTTAATTTTATAATTTCTGCATGCCATCTTACCAGATTTAAGTAGATGATCTATAATCCGGAATGGCCGAAGTCCCGACGATTCCGGATTAAAGACTTTGTACTGTATTCTTTTTTTGTTAAAACATTCTGCCATTTCAAAGGATATCCAATCAGTAAAGAATTATTCATGGGCTGTGCGCATCCGTGGTTTTGAGATTCAGTGGTAATCCAAGTTTGTAGAAAGTGTGGTGATTCAGCAAAACATATCACATCTCATATCAGTAATCCCCAATCAATAACATATAAATTGATTTAATTAAATATAATAATATCTCAATCTCAGAAATCGCACATCATCCATCGAGTCTCAGTACACACTGAATGGCGCTCTCAGCTCCCTCTAGCGTTAGGCGAGTCTTACCATTCTCCCCGCTTAAACTCCCATAGAGTTTACATTTCAATTTCCAGATATTGAGATAAATAGACTTAAAGTCAATTAAAATCACACTAAACTAAATATTAAATTGGTAAACTTATTAAAATATAAAATAAAAGTTTTTCAAGTTCTCATTCAGTCTTTAAATGGTAGAGGAATAAATTTTTAATGTCGATGGCTCGTCCGAAGAACACCTGTAGAGGTCTTAACTTCAACTACTCTGACCAGACCATCAGCACCAGGATACACTTGTTGGATGCGACCCAATGGCCAATGCAGAGGATTCGGGTTGGAGTCCTTCAGCAGTACTAGTTGACCAATCTGCATGTTTGGCTGCGAACTGCTCCATTTGGCACGATTCTGTAGTTGAATTAGATACTCGAAATGCCACCGCTTCCAAAATTTAGCTTGGAGTCTCTGAACTAGTTCCCACCTGGAATGAAAAGAAAGAGAATCCGAAGCAGTATGTGGTTCAGGAAAGGACAACATAGCATTTCCTGTTAAAAAAATGTCCCTGAGTTAAAAGCTGCAAGTCATTCGGAACGGAAGAAAGCAGTGATAATGGACGGGGATTCAGAACTGCTTCTATCTGAGTAACTGAAGTATTTAACTCTTCAAAATTCATAATAGCTGATTTTGCTACCCTTAACCAAATCCGTTTCATTGATTTTATGTTTGCTTCCCACAGTCCGCCAAAGTGAGGAGAAGCTGGTGGGATAAATTTCCATTGGATGCCTTCTTCTGTACTAAATCCTTGAATTGGGTTAGATTTGTAAATATTATTATATGCGTTAAGAATATTTCTCCCACCCTTCAAATTCGGGGCGTTATCGCTCCAGATAACGGCTGATTTGGATCTTCTGGCAATAAATCGTCGTAAACAGGTTAGAAAAGCTTCTGTTGTTAACTCAGAAAGGACTTCTAAATGCACTGCTTTAGTGGAAAAACAGATAAACAGATAAACAATGCAATATAAGACTTTTAAAGTCACCTTTGACCTTTTCAAATTAGGTTTCGTGATTATAGGTCCTGCGAAATCTAATCCGACCTTCTCGAAAGGTCTAGAAGATACGACTCTGTCGCTAGGTAGATTATTACCCATCATCTGCCTTACTGTTTGATTCTTCATTATAAAGCAAGTCATGCACTTATTTATTACTCTTCTAACTCTATCTTGACCAGACGGTATCCAATATGACTGTCTTATTAAATATAATGCAGTCTGTACGCCAGAATGTAAGGATTTTCTATGATAATATTCAATAAGTAAATTAGTGAAATGATGAGCCTTTGGCAAGAGTATCTGATTTTTCTGAAATTCAGAATACTCCAGTCTTCCTCCTACTCTCAATACCTCATTTTTGTCAAGAAATACGTTCAGAAATGATATTTTACTATTTTTTGGAATAGATTGTCCGTTTTTCAAGCACTTTATTTCCCTTTGAAATTCAGTTGACTGTACGAGTTTTACTAAAACTTCAGTAGCATGTCTTAACTCAGAAGCACATATGAAGTCTGTTCTCAACTCTGGGTTTGCTTTACAGTTATTTATAAATCTCAAACATAAAGCAGTTATCCTAATTAATTTACTGAATGAGGAGTATCTTGTGATCAAATCGTTTTCATTTTGGCTATTTTCAAACAGTTGCATTTAACAACAACTGACTTCTTAAACTCTAACTTATCGACATCTACTTTGGTTTCTTCCATTGATTCTAAGGAGGATGGCCATGCTGTATTATTCATTGTCAACCAACAGGGTCCATGCCACCAGAGCTGATTATTCTTGAGCTCGCTTAAGGATAAACCCCTAGAAATC